AACTTTTTTTTTCCAATGCAGATAGTACACCGCCCCCCTCAATTTGGGATATTGTGACATCAAGCACATAAACAATGGAGGGTATCAAAGGGAAACCAAACAGAGAAACATCTGCTCCTCCTCAGTTGGTTTTACAGGTTGCCATACTAAAAGTTTAGAACAACAACTAACAGAAATGTAACAGGCTACAGGGAGCGGCGCACAGTCGCTTTGCTGTTTTAAAATGGCGGATGTTGCTTTTTTCTCACCAATTAGTAGTGTGCAGTGTCTTCACATCACATTTCGGGATCGAACCACGGCTGAGGTGATACCAAAGGAAGTACCAGGTACTACTGACAAGTTTTGCCTGATTCTAAAAAAGGTGAGTCAAGTCAAGTCACGTTGAGCTGACACCATGCAGTAGAAAAGGGCTAATACTTGTTAAACATCACCGTGTTAGCATTGTCATTGTGAGAATGTTAGCATTTAGCTCAAAAACCGCCTGCGCCTGCTATCAGTGCTAGAGTCTGCTGCTCTTCCTCAGTTCTCTTGCTACTGATGTGTTTCATTTCAGGTTTTTTTTCCCCACAAGACAAACTTGACACATTCATTTTTTGAGCCCGGCTTATTTAACAGCACCTGATCTTTTCAACATACACTGTCATAATTAAACAGGATGCTACCAGCTACATAAACCAGAAGGAACTGATCTGAGACCAGTTAAGTCCAGTGTGTGCTTACTGATGCATCCACTCTCCATCGTGTTGCCCTGCAGACTGTTTGCAGAGCTGTGAGTGAATTCTGCATCATTTGTCATGCAAAAACTGAAGTGCTCTCTTCTGCAATAGCTTCTGCAACATGTTGACTCACACTGAAACACACACATGAGCACACACACATGAACACACAAACCACAGAAATAAATGGTGGGGGGTTAAAAGCTGACTCCCGGTGTGTTTCTCTCGGTGTAGTCATGGTTTCCATTGCTTTCCTGCTGAAGTGCCCTTTACCATTGCAGTTGTCCTCAACACCCTCCACCCCAACTCCCACCTAGCAGAAACAGCAGAAACATGTGGTTAAAGACAAAGCCAAGTCCAGGCCGTGTGCCAGCCTCATTATCTGCTCTTGTAACTTCTCATTTATTGCTGCCACCTCATTTAACACCCACAGTCTTATTTATTTATATCATTTGATGCCGCTTTTATATATACATATGTATCAGGCCATTGCCAGTGCTGAAAAAAGTCAGCGACAAACGCACCCTTTCCACCTTGTCATTGATTCTCCAAGTGTCTGATCTCTACAGGAGGGATGAACGTCAGGGTCGAGATTTGGTGACTGTGAAGGCCATAGCATATAATTCACATTATTTTCATACTTAAACCATCATTGACCCCTCTTGCCCTGTGGATGGGGGCATTATCATCCTGTGTCTCCATTCATTTTTTAGGGCCTGTATCTCCGCAAAGAAAGTTATGTCTTTACCCATGTCTCTTTGTTGGGTTGTTTGTTTGTTTGTTAGCTAGATTACACAAAAAGTGCGGAACCAATTTGCACCAAACTGGGTGTACTTATGGCTCCTGGGCCAGTGACAAACCCATTTCATTTTGGTGCTGATCCTATTGAAGGGGCAGATCCAGGAATTTTTTTCTCACTTTCCTGAACTTTGTGAGATACTGTAGGGTATATTTTCGACTTTTTCATCAATTTCTAAGGAAATAAATTTCTAAATCGAGTCTAAAGGACAGTCAGAGCTACATCAGAAATCCACAGTGTACGTGAAGGGCGAAAAGCCAGTAGTCATAGAGAGAGGGGAGATGTGATATTGTGTAAGTACGGGGATAACAGAGCACATTACCAGATTCATTCATAGTTTTGCCCTGAGTTGTTGACATGAGAAGTGACAGAAATGATTGTGCAACAAATGAAAAAAGAGCCATTGCACTGTTAGGGAGAGGTTTGTGATTTTATGATGCTGTTTGTTTGTCTGTTTGTGTCTTTTATCTGTTTTCTGTTTCTTTTGGTCTCTCTTGCAAAACAGATCTATACATAGGACTGTGCAAACATTCTAGACACTTTAGATGTTTAGATTCTTGCCCATTACACGAAACCATCAGGAGGCGTCTGATCGGTCCCAGGTCCATTCTGCAGCAGGACAACAAACGCAAACATACAGCCAGAGTCATAAAGTCTTACATAAGATAAGATTTACATAAAATATACATTTTGGTCTGACCTGAAATGTCTTAACATCACCACCCTGGTGTAAGGGTGAACCCAGGATTAACTACTCCTTTGAAAAAGTGATTAAAAATATAACTATTTGTCTTTGTCCTTTTTATACAATGTGCATAGCAGTTGTGAGGTCCCTTTAAGACTTTTTATTGACACACACACACAAACACACAAACATAGCAGCATATCTCCCAGCTGCTGTGGGGAAGCACAGCTCTGGTTCTTAGAAGTCGCAGCCTCACACAAAGCAGGGTGCACTGTGGGTAAGCTGCAGTTACTGTAAAAGAAAGCTATCTGTCATTTACCAGAAGTGATGTCACAGGAAGTGACATGACAACTGCGGGTTGGAGGGAGGGTGGGCTTTGCAGCTTTTGTAGCTGCAGAAATACCCTGTCTCCCCTGCCTGCATGCAGGGCAGTGTGGTCTTTGAGCTTCAACACACAATAACAACAGTTTGTGTGACTGATTTTTGTTTGTTGCAGTATCTTGTTCTCTGTGTTGAAGTATTTACAGTTACATGCTAGATTAACTGTCCTGTATTCATGTGTTTGTCTTTACCAGCCAAAAGGGCCTGTCAGCCTAGTTTGTGCGTGCAGGAGTCTGCATGGAGACACATTCCCCCTCGTGACTTCTCACATGATTTTTGATTTAAAAAACTGTTTCGAGACCCAAGAGGTCAGACTTACCAATATTTCACAATAAACTTAAAATATTACAGAAAAATACAAAAACGTGGGTATCAGAACATTATTTTCTTCTTTCTTTTCATAACCCCTTTCGGATTTCATGACTCCTTAAAGGGGCCCAAGCCCTAGGTTGATAACTAACACATTCTATATACATTTAGCTCATAATGCTTTTGCACAAGACAGTCTGAAAAGTGGATTCTCATGGCCTTAATGTATCTGGCATCTAATGTCCGCGACAGGAATGAATTTGAGTTTGAAGTTTCATTATTGACTTTGGAAATATGTGATTAAAAAAAATGTAAAACAAGGTCGACTTAGTGGAAATTCAAGTGTTTCAGCAAAAATTTGTGGACTTTTTACTGATGAAGACCATGAAAGCTCAAGAAGATTTACAGTAAGCAGAAATATGCTTCATTTCTTGTCAGAGGAGTTACTTTGTTGTACTCAACAACTCAATCCAAGTTGACCAAAATAATGTGTGGAGTAACCCACAGCTCAATCATAGGGCCTCTTATATTTTTATATTTCCATTAAGCAAAACAAACTCTACATTTATACTGTCAATGACACAAATCAACTTGATCATATTTTGTGCAGATGACACCAAAATGTACATTTTAGGTTTGCCGAGTGACTGTAGTCCTGTGAATCAAACAAATCAGTGACCGAGTTTCAAAGTTGATTCTTGACCCTAGACACAGTCGACGAAACAGTCTCAACTCAAGGTCCAAGTAACTGTTCCGAAACTTTCAATCATATCACATGAACTGGCCAGTTGTGGGATGTTCAAATTTCCACTTCTTATGCAATCTTTAAATTATATTTAAGGACCTCTTGTCTATGTCGGCTTTAAGAATGAGAGGTCATATGAGTGGAAAATTAAACAATTAGAGTCCCTTGGCTGATGATGATCATGTAGCATGATCAAAAGCTCCAGAACAGCTACCAAATGGACTTCTAGGTGACATTGTTTTGTCAAATTAATGATTAATGAATGAATGCCCTAAATTCCTTCATCTAAATAGCGACAAAACTGAAATAACTGTCGACTCTCTGTCTTTAAAAACCAAAAACCAAGTCAGAAATCTGTGATCATGGACTCTGACCTAAAGTTCAACAGTCACGTAAAATCGATAACAAACTGCCACTAGATAGTTAGATAGTAGAATCCTAAAAATCATGGCAAGAATCAGACAATAGAAAAGGTGAAGTTCATTCTGTTTTATTCAGTGCATTTGTCTGCATGTGCCAATCAATAAATACATAATAAATAATCAACTATCACTCATAACAACATTTTTCAGTATTAAATAAACACCTTAAATATGAAAATAAATATAGAAAATTACATGTCAGAAAAATACAAAAATCCCTGAAGAGTATTGTACTTCTATTACAGTATTTTTACCGCAGTGAAGTACTTCAGTGCTGGGGCTGAATGTTCAGAGGACTTGTGGTACATTTAAGTACATCAGCAATAAACTCTGGTGTATTTTGTACTGTAAACATCATCAGTTCTCTTAGGCAGTACAATGGAGATGTTGGTGGCAGGCTCTGGCAGTGACAGTCCTGTTTACGAGAAATTCTGCTTAATTTATAAAATGTCTAAAATGTACAACTCTTAAACTTTGGCAGAGATATCAGCTTTAAATCCTGTTGCTAGGCAGTTTATGGCAGACTGAATTTTCGGAGCTTTGTAGAGGTTTTATCACGTTGGTTTTGGACATTTCAGTTGCAAATGTAACATTTCACATTTGATAAATTAACGTATAGCTGTATGTTATGTATATTTGGAGATCTAAGGTGAAAACTTTGATATGTGAAATATCATAAAGGCCATATTTCACATGTGAAAACATAAATTTCACGTGTTTTTTCTAACAATCAGGACTTTCTCATCAGTCTGGCACCGCCCACCTCTCCACCATCAATCTGAGTGCATCAAGTAGGAGTTTCACTCAATAAAAAAATGAATTCTAAATTTTTTGCCTTGTAGCACTTGATCCTTTTCCTTTATTTTTTGTCACCTGTTTTTATAATTTCTGAAAAATGAAAATAAAACAAAATAATTACATGTAATTTACCATAAAAATGATTAGAATGACGTTAATCTTAATTCTATCTGGTTGATCTTTGAGCATTAAATCTGCAGGTTTTACATAGATAAAAAAGATTTTTAACAAAAACAAATAAAAAACAATTGAGCAATCAAGTGTTTCAAGGCGATATTGATTGACATGATTATTACAAGTGAGTGAAACTCCGTATTTGCATTATTATTGCATTATTATATCAGCTCTCTGGATCAAATCACCATGCTGCTTTCAAGTATCGAACATCGAACTACTAAAAAATACATACATTTTACAAAACTGCAATATTTATTAGGCTTAGGCTGCTGGTTCAGTATAATAAATATCTATGAAATCATCCCTGTAATCACCTCCTAAAACAGAAAAAAAAAAATAGGCACGCTGATTTAAGTTTGGATATTTGTTTGGTTTTGTTATGTTATTTTATCTATTTTAAAATCTGTCATTAAATATCCTACATCCTTGTTCTACTATTATTGTTGTTTTTGCCTTTAAGCTTTCTTGCCATCATTGGTTCCTCGCATCTCAGGCTCTCTGACTAGTTTTGACCCTCCGTGCTTGCCGCCGACGCCGCCGCCGCCTCATCTGCATCTTCATGCTGTCGGGCAGTGAACTGGCCTCCGCGTACAGAAACGGCAGCTCAAACAGCGCTTTGTTCTGGATGATGAGGTCATCCATCTGGGAAGAGAAAGACGGAGAGGGAAATTTGACATTAATCACAATGACCATAACCAATAGGTAGAATTAGTTTAGTAAAGTAACAATAACAGTAACATCACATAGACCCATTAAAAGTCCTGTACAACCTTTAGTAAAGTTTTACTTCCAATATAAACTCTACATATGCCCAACAAAACGCTCTTTTTAAAAGCCTTACTTTGAGCCTGGATAAGATCTTCATAGGCCCAATAAAAACCTTTGATAAGCCTAAATTTAAGCCCCCAAAAACCTACATAATCCTTTATGAAGCCCTACTTGCCACCTAAGACCTTCCCGAAATTACTTCAAGGCCTTTAAGAGATCCATCCCTCCACAACCCTTCCACAAGCCTTATGTCAAGTGCTCTGTAAGCAGACCTGGATGAAGCCCTACATAAACCTTCCTTAAGAATGGTTTCAAGTCATGCATCAGCCCTGGGCATCCTTGATAAGCCTTTCTTAAGCCCTAAAGAAACCCTCCTTAAACCTGATACAGTATCATTTCTATCCAGATCATTAAGCCTGATTGATTAAGTCCATGTCTCTCTCTCGCTCTCTCTCTCTGTGAGTCTATGTGTCTCTACCTTGATGTGTTTGAGGGCCTGCAGTCTCTGCAGGAGCTTGTCCTGCTCCTGGTAATGGTGTTTCCTCAGCTCCTGGACCTTCTTCAGGATGTAACTCAGCTGCACCCTGACATCCTCGCCCCCTTGCGACTTGGTGTCAGCGTTGGTGCTGGGGACAGCGGTGACTGTCTGAGGACTCGGGGTAGGCAGCTCCTTCAACATCTGGCCAATGATCTTTTCATAGGCCTCCAAAACGCCACCCAAAAACACCCTTTTTGTCTGAGAGGGAGAAATGAAGAGGTAATCAAGTAAACTATTGTTTCTGATGGTGGATTTTTAACTAATTTCAAACCAAAACCTGCCTTAAAAAGATAGGAAATTAAATATGAAAAGACACATTAATAAAACATAAAAGCAGTGGAAGAGTTATTTAAATTAAAAATAAGCTGATCTGCTCTGGCTTGACAAACTCATTACCAGCCTTGGTGCATTGAAAATGTTTCACACAGTGGAAAAACTCTGTGGTTTCCCACATAGGTTAAATAAAGCTTAGAGTAGGCCTTAAAGGGAAATGTCACTCATTGGCAGTGAAACACAAATGCCATGTCCAACAGGTTTGAAGCTCATTTGGAAGCAAGAACTCAGGTCAAAGGTAAAAAAAAAGTCTGACTGATTAGAGAAGAACTGACCAATCTGTGAACAATCCTTCTGAAACTGAGTTTTCAACACAATTCAGTTTGTTAATTGCTGCTAGTTGTTTGCTAAAACACCTCAGATGAGTCATGAGGTGTTTCGGCTGGAACACATTCGAAACCTCTGAAGTTTAACCAAACACTATTGCGGTGAGGGAAAAACAAAATGGGAAAACCCATAGGGGAGTGTGTGTTAAGTCTATGCTAAACACCAATGTCTGTACAACAACCTGTTCCCTGCCATAAATACTTTAGATACAAATTCATAATGACAACACCCATGTCCAGCCATGCCAGATCCAGGCCATGTTTGGGCCGATATAACAATCATATTCCTGATTCCAGTGCCAACACTGGGCCAAAGCTGATCCAAGTGCTCAGAACACAGCTGTAATCGGCCTGACTCAACCGAATACCTGGCACTTTCTTGGAGTGTAGGTCCATCGTGACTGACAATATTTTACTTTAAAAAGTTTAGTTTCTAAAACTATCATCAAATGTAAATCTGAAGCAAATTTCAATCTTCATTCGATGTTTATTTTCATATGAACTAGCAAGCTGTCCCTCGAGCTCATCTTCCCTAGACTTTCTATCGCAAACCACACAGGACTTCACAAAAACAACCAAGTGAAACAATGCAGCACAGCTTGGTGTTAATCTGTTAGACACTGCTGAGTCGAAACTTGCTACATGAAACCAAAATGAAATGGCTTTGTGTCACTGCAGGTGAAGAGTGAAAGTTTTTTGTGGAGTCTGAGAAAAGTTGCACAAAGGTTGCACAGTGCAGAGCCAGCAGAACAAAAAAGTAACCCACAAAAACCTCAACACAACCTAGACATATAAATGTTAATCAACCCGTACGCTAAATGTGAGTTTAAGGAAACTTATATGCTGTTACTATAGTGACTGTGCACAGCTTATTATCAGTGAGGTTGCCAGGTTCGGTGCCTTTAGGGTCCAGAAACCTGTTCTATGGCTGGAGATGCTGCACAGCAGAACTTATTGGTTAAGTAGAAACTACCCAGTGTGCATCATCTGCCCCTTAATCCACAGTTTTTATTTCTATATTTCTGTTTGTGTAAGGATTGAATGAAGAAAATACAATGTGTTCATTAGTGAGCTGTGCAGTTGTTTTCAGGTGTGTTCTTTAACACAGGACAAATCCAAACTGGGCTAACTACTGTTGCTTTAAGGTTGTGGTTAAGAACATCGTTGGAGTTTTGATTTGTGCAACACCAGAGAAAATGGCACGCCTGAACTTCCCACACTCCCCACAGGAAACTTTGCCTTTGAGGCCCATACTCTGCCTGCAATGTTTTCTAGGTATTTCCTTGGATGTTTTAAAAGCGGAGACTATGAGGTTAAAAGACAGAGAGCAGATGAATTGTGTATAAAACCACAACCTAACACAAACTGACCACAGAGAGTTTACGTTGCTATTTGTGGATGAGTAGAAGCTAAACTGGACTTTTATTTACCTCCATTCTGCCATTCAGCGGCTCTTTGGAGAAGATGGGCTTCCCGCTAAAAATCAGCTTAGCTGAAACGTCCTGCAAAAAAGACAAAGAGACACGTTTTTTAGTTAACATCTCACATAAATGCATTCATGCATGCATTGATAAATTCAAGAACAATCAGACAGCTAAAGTTCAGAGGCATGTGTCACAAAGCTTTAATTAATGAAATAATAATAAAATGATTCCCTGAATGTATCATCAAATACATCGGCCCTGCTGTTCATTGCATTACCATATGATTATAATAGAATTTACATTAATTTGATTTAAATAATAATGATAAATAATGTTGCAGTAAACTCTTTGTGTGTGTTGATGGATTAATACACACACACACACACACACACACACACACACACACACACACACAAACACCAGAATAGGCCTTTGAACTCTCAGCAAGTGCAGAATAAAAAGGGTGTGTTTGCGCATGTGTGTGTGTGTTTGTGGTGAGAGAGAATCAAGAGGATGAAACAGAGAGCGAGCACCAGTCTCTGTGGTGCCACAGAGACTGACACACAAGCACAAGCATCAGCAATATCTACAGAAGCGGTATCTGAAGTACTCACATAGTGATTCATTAGTTCTTGGATGGTTTTGTTCATCTTTGGAGGGATGTGGAAACCTCTGACCTGGCACACAGAAAACCAGAGGGTCAGACAGACCATTGCCCTCGCCGTTGTAACCATCGTATCTCTTCTTGTAATAAACCCTTTCCCGCTGGTCGTCGATTGAATCCCAAGCCTGTCCCGGCCTATTGTGAGCGCTGGTTTTCAATCCTTGTCCAAGCGACGAGTGAACACCTCTCTGACTGTGGATGTGTCTGACTGACAGTCGTGTGTCTCTTACCATGAAGTTGGCTCAAACTGTTTGACTTGTGTTGAAAGCTTATATTTATATCACAGAGAGAGAGAGCAAGGCAAAGGGGCAGAGAGACACAGACATGAATAGGGGAGAGAGAGAGAGAATGTGATGCAGCGATGATCTAGGTGTGAAAACTGTGGTTGTGCAGTTTCCTTTAAATCACCAAACTTCATAGAAGTGGGTGAGGGGTCTCCCACTCATGCATGTCAGACACAAAGCATGCTCGCTGCACAAATCCACATCACCCAGTGAATTTATTGGAATTAATATCTTTACTGGTCATACTGGCAGCTCTAATGGTTTCTGACAGAGGCCTGTACTTGAGCCCAATGGAGCATATTGAGATTCAAGTAGAAGCCATTGGAAACTGCGTTATCTGAGATGCGTAGTCTGCAGCCTGCGTCGGAAATCATTAGAATCCAGTAGAATGTAATGGAAACCCTTACGAACCCCTGAGCAATCTATTGCACCTGTGGTTTTATTGGGAAAGGTTTCTGGTGGTGGTGTAATTGGAACTGAGGCATATTAAACCTATTGGCAACCATTTTCATCAGCTCGTTGGTTTCTTCTAAAGGTGTCAAATAGACTCGTAGTACGAGCGGCTCACTCAACCGGTGGCAGATTAATCCACATTTGGTGCTCTAATGCAGGTTTCCAGTGGGATTGAGGTGAAATAAACCAACATGGCTGAACTATACATCTACAATATCTGCATTTGTGGTTTTACCGAGACTCTAAAGGTTTGATGACTTTAATCAAAGCTACTAGAAACCACTGTAGCATCATCCGAGGCCAGTGGGAGGTTCTACTAGCGTTCAAATGGAAACCGCTGGGCCACAGCCTGTGAATCATTTATCAATATCACTGCATTAATCAGTGTTTTATATTGTCTTGTCAAAATAAAAAATGAATGAAAAAGTCCTGTTTGCAACAAGATGCACTGATATAATTTGATTTGACCTATGATGATATAAAAATATACAAAACAATACAACCCAAAACAAATGGGTTTCAAAAGAGAAGATAAAAACTCAACAAACCAGGGGAACAGAAATACAGTTCAGTAGTGAATGAACCAAGCCGTCCAAGTACAGCTCGACAAACACAGCAGCAAAGAAAGAAGTCTTAATCCCTGATTTAAAAGAACTGACCGAGTTTTCTGAGAGGTTGTTTCAGATATGTGGGGCATGAAAACTGAACGCTGGTTTTCCAGGTTTAGTTTGGACTGAAAGCGAACTTGTCTCAGATCGTCTGAGAAGTTCGGAACAGATCAACAGATGAGAAACAATTCCATGCTTTATCAACCAACGGTAGTATTTTCAAATCAAGTGGACAGTAGAGACAAGTAGACTTTTTAATGTAAATCCTGCTGAGATATAAGTCTTTTAATTCTTGATACAACATTAAGGGGTAATGTAATTGTCTTAATGTGGATGTTAAACTTTAGGTCTGAGTCCATGACCACACTTAGATTTCTGGGTTGGTTTGTGGTCTTCAGTTAGTGACGGAAGCTGAGCACTGACTTTTAAATTGTTCTTCTCTGGCTACAAAAACCTTATCTCAGTTCTGTCTTCGTTTAACTGTAGGAAATTACAGCAGTACTCAGTGCAGCTCCTCATTACTTGTTTGGGACCAAAGTCACCTGGTGATATTGTTATTTAGTTGTTGTCTATGACCTGAGCTGGTGGAAACATGTAAATATTGAAGATTTATATGAAAAGACTCCAATGAAACTGGATGTGGGTTTGGTATTTTACATGGTGGACGTTCTCTTTGATATGGTTTTCTTAGGTGAAAATTATTTCTGCAGGAGCTAAAACTGTCCTTATTTTATACGTTTCAGATTTTCAACAACTCACAGTGGAGCAAAAGTTATCCCAGAGGTGGGGGCACGGCTTAGGTTAGCAAGTGTGCTAATCGCATGTTTTCATAATAAAGACAGCGCTGGTTACTGTGGTTAGCCATCTAACAAGACGACATGACTGTGCCGATTTTAATGTGGTGTTGACTGAAAGGTTTGAGAGTGAAACACAAGCAGCTGTTTATAACATGGCTGCCAGCTGCACATCAAATAATAAAAATACTGTCTTCAATGGCCTCTATCGCCAAATAAATTCTGTAATCTACTGAGCAGATGAAGCCATATGTTGGTTAAAAGTACTGGATGAACACTTGTAATACATGGACAAACATAAATAACAGATAAACAGATCAACTATGAGCTGAGGGTAATGGATGAACGGTTGTATGTTGATGATATTATATTAAATTATACGGTAACAGTTTGCACTTTTAATAGTATTAAAGTCAAATTATTAAAATATCAACAAGGAACAACGGTTAAGTTTTTGCATAGTATTCTGGGTAATATTGCATAATATGGTGTAACCAGAGACTGACAGGCAAGATGAGGACAGGAAATTACAGTATGTCATGAAGCAGTTATCCCCAGAAGGTGTGAGGTCATTCTACTGAGTAATGCAACGAGTTAGGAGTGTCTGATTCAGTTTAAAGGAAACTGACATATTACAGGGCTTTTCTTGTCAGCTACACACCTATTTTTATATATGTACGGGCACACATACATCCTTGTCTTGCTATATTGGTGGGGACCCATTATTGATATTATACATTCCCTAACCCTTTATCCAACCTTTACCATTACATCTGCATGCCTGACCCTTACCCTAACCTAGACCTGATTCTAACCTGAACCCTAAAACCGAGTCTTAACCCTCAAACAGCCATTTAAACATGTGGGGTCCGACAGCTTTGTGGACCCCACAAGTACAGTAAGAGTCTTGGTCCACAGAAAAATAGTGAAATGAACATACACAAACACTTAGATAATTATATAAAAACTAATAGAAATGTGTTCCTGAGCAGAAGTACCACTGAAAATATCAGCAGAGTAAACAGGAGATTGGAAAAAACCTTCAGGAAGTTGCATCAAAGAAAAGCAAGAAAAAGCAAAGTGAAAACCAGATGAGCATCAGAGCTTCAGAGAAAATGTTTTATTGTAAATGAAAAGAAGCTGAACTGATGCACATGAGCTAAATGGGAATGAAGTGGATAAATTCAACCATCTGACCAGTGACATCTACTTTATTTTGGCCTTTTTTCATGCCTCTGCAGCAGCAACAGCCAAATGCTATTGGTTGTTCGTCCGTCTGAACATCCGATCCTTGTGAAGGCGATATCTCAGGAACGCTTTGAGGGAATTTCTTCAAATTTTGTAAAAAAGTTCACTCGAATTCAAAGATTTTAGAGCTGAAATGTCAAAGGTGATTGTCACTGTGACCTCACAGAACACATTGACCATCCGGGGGAATTTCTTAAGATTCTGCACAAACCTTCACTTGGACTCAAAGATGAAATGATTCAATTTTGGAGATTGAAAAAAGGTTCAAGGTCACGGTGACCTCACATTTTTGTGAATGCCATATATCAGGAATGTCTGGAGGAAATCTCATTAGATCTGGTACACATTTCAACTTGACTCAAAAACAGATTACATTTTGGACATTAAAGGTCAAAGATCAACTTATATGCAACAAACATGTAATAGGATAAAATGATGAAGTGCAAAATCACTTATGGCCATTATTCAATGCTGTAACTCAGGAAGGAGATTGTGAACATATTTCCTGCAACTTGACTAGTTGGCGTAAGGGTTCAACCACGGGTGGGGATTCTAGTTAAAACCTAGTCTATTTTTTTTTTCTTAATAATTACAGCAAACAACTTCAATATGCTAAGTTTCAATGAAATTGCTTGAAATGAAACAATTTAGTGTGCACACAGTTTAACTTAAATGTCATTGGTTGATAAAAAGCTGTGCTGACCAGCTCTATTCAACCATACAATTAAATCAGACTTTTTTTTACCCTGGCATTTCCCAGTTACTTTGCATAATCCACTGTGCAACACAGATGTTTGTGGATTCAATGTTTCACATTCAAAACAAACTACTGACTTGTGACCCATGGGTGTGTGAAAGCCTAACAAATTTATCTCCAATTTGCAAGCAGCAATTGTTTGTGAGACACAGAGCTGCCATCAATTATGATTTGCATATAAGCTGTGCCAGCAAGACTCATCTGAGCAACGCAACTCAGTCACAGCCTAAAAAACAAAACTGAGTGTCGTTCTTGAGGTTACTGGACTTGCAGATCCAGTGCATTTCACATGCAAAAGTCTGCTTATTAGGTTTAGTGTTAAGTAACGTTTCTCCATTACCTATCATCATCATTCACTCTTTCAGGAATGCTGCAGAAACATAGCTGGATTCAGGGCTGAGCTCAGAGGGGAAGTCACATCAAGTGCTGAGCTCAGCATGAAAGAAACGCAGGAAACAGGAAGAGAGATGAGTAGAGTTGTTTTTGACGTTCAGGTGTTAAAGAATATATGTGCAGCACATGGGCATCCCCTATTCACTCACAAACAGGAAGAGGTTTCACAGGTAGAGTTTGTTTCTGTTTTGAGGAATTAACAGACGTTTCTTTGCAGATATCAGCATGAACTTGAATGATCTTTGACTTAATTTCTGCTGAATTTCTGAAGGTCTGTTAGGCTTCCTGATCATCAACTTCAAAATAATCTCCCTTTTTGATTATGAACTTTGACTGAGAATGTTAGATATTGCACATGTAAGTAAACATGAGATTTTTGTGATTTAGTAACTAACTAACTAACTAACTAACTAACTAACTAACTAAAACTATTTCCATTGCAATACAATTCTTCCTGCAACTGTCTACACTTCACTCTACGGTTAAACATAGTGTAAAAGAAGCAGCAATGTTGGTTCTGCTGAGAACCCACGTAATTGCTTGAAAGAGGGAACTGAGACCCCACAAAATATTGTCAATGCTTCAATACAAGTTCAAGCTCATACTTTTTTGAGTAATTAGTACACTTGGTTCGGTGGAGGCACACATATAATTTCCGAGTTCCCAGTTGTAAATTTTAACGGGA